AACCGCACCGAACTTTTCAAAGAGTGCAGAGATTCTCATGTACATACGCTTTCGCCTCGCTCCACAGCTAACAGCCGGGTTTGTGATCAGAACATTTTTAGGCAAATGCAAAAATGTAACCTTTTATTTTTGTTTTTTAAACCTCCTACAATTGTTAATCGATGGTTGATTCAAACTCCTGAGAATGTCTTGTGAGTGTGACACTACAGTCTGCAAGGTTCAAATGTTAAAGAAATGTTCTTCCCTTTATCGTGTCTGTATGTGTCGCTTTTTCTTTAGCTGCTGTGCTGCATGTGGAAGGACAGAATGTTTACTACACAGAAATATATCTACCATGGCGGCATCCGGAGAGCGCTCGCTCTCTGATCATCTCATCCAGTCAGGGGTCTGGTTCTCTGTGCTCCTCCCCCTCATACGTCCACAGTGTCGATAGGAAACAAGAGTGTGCGTCATGTTTCCCCCTCTAGTAGGATGCATGTTTTGTTTCATTCGTGTCGAGTCGCATGATAATTAAGGAATGAATATTTGGGATTCTGTTTAGACAACCATGTGTTAGTTAGTCCGCAGCAGCGTCTGTTCAGAGCTCCACTAACTTCCTGAATGAGCGACCGGACTTCTTGTTAGCACAACAGAACAAAATCCGGCCTGGCAGGACTCAACTCACGGAAGTTAAAGCAGCTGATGGTCTCCATTGGGCTCGCCACTGGAGTCAACATCGATGCTATAGGACGCGCACAGATCACATGACCTGGATTTGAGGCATGTTATACATGCTTGAACCAACTGGTGACAATATAACTAAAGTCCAGAGTATAGGGAGGTTTTAATCATCAAGGTGGAGGACCCCAATACACAACCAGGGTAGAAATCTAACCCTAATCCCAACACTGATCCACAAAGACGTCTGCCTGAATCTATACAAAAACACAAACTACTGTCACGGGTTGGAAACCAGCTTGTGTTTCTCTCTGATGTTTAGGTTTCGCCCCAGTTACTTCATGCAAGGACAGCCTGTGCACAACCTGTGTGGTCCTTAAGTTTGTGGTTTCCTCTGAATATTGAGTCCATCTCAGCTCCCACAAGGTGACAGTGGGGTACTCTTAAACTCCCACTGGCGCCTTTGTTGCTGTTTGCACAGCAGAGGTATTACTGATAAGATGGAGACACAATAAAGGCTGGATACCCTGATTGCTTAGAAGAAAGGATTTGGATTTACCTGAAGTGTCGGGGCCGACCTAATCTTAGTCCCATCCCACTTTATCCACAGTAGATTAGTTTCTGTCCTTCACTAGACACGCATAGATTATGAAAACTCTTAGGAGACGGGGTGATTGTTTGTGGTCCATTGTTGCTTCTCTTCCCTTTTCCTCATGCCGTGATCTAACTGAATGAGTCTGGGAATCAATCAAAAGAACCAATGACCAAATCTGACCATTCCACTGTGAGGCGAGGACCTCCCGCTAATCACTGCCCAACTTTACTGATCCCACAAATGACCAAATTTACATCCACTGGACCCAGACAGAAACCATCATTTGGGCGTCGCTCTAGTTTACAGCTCAAGAGCAATGGAAGAATATTTCATATTTGTGCCTGAATACTACTGCCACCAAATAAATCGTCCTGAAGACCTATTTTAGTTTTCTGACACCACTTAGACCTGAGCTGCAGTTGAATCACAATGAAAGCAGAGGGATCCAAAACTGGCTTGGTTGAAGGTCTTCAGAAGTGAAACATCCTCTGGACTTCACCTAAGTCCAGTTGACTTCTGAACTACCATGACCTGAGTAGCTGAAAAGCTTGACTAACAAGTACCCGATCCTCTGTGTGGGACCATCTCAGAACTCATCCTTGTATTTAGTAGATATTCGAAAACCTTTGTTGGGAACTCTTCCCAGTTGGTTCAAGGTCTTAAAGAAGTCTCTCCAACAAACGGTGGAACATCGTCAAGAACTTCAACCAAGTCCATTTGGCTTTGGATTGACCATGGCTTGAATAACTGGGAACCTTTACCATCATTGACCAGTTAGCATCCTAAAGGTCCTCCCTGTTGATCTGCAGACATGAGACCATTGTTGGGGACTTTTTACCCGTTGGTTAAATCATGAATGAACCAACAGGAGCTGGCACTGATTGGAAAGTAAATCCCTTTACCTTACCCAACCAGAGTGAATCCAGTTCTACCTGTGCCTATCTGGTCCTAGAGCTAGCATTGAAAAGTGAGAGAACCATTGAAGAGTCTGCTCAGGGTCATAGGAGTTTCAGCTCAACAAACAGGAAGTTAATGGATCTCTGAACAGTTCCTGGACCGTCTCTCTGTGTTGAAGACAAATCTTAGTACCAATTCTGATGTTTTTGTTCCTGTATTTGTCAGAGTTTTGGGAACAGAAACTCAGTCAGTGACATTGCACAGCTGGCAGCAGAGAAGGTGTTTGATCATCATCCCTCTCCGCTCTGCCTTGATTGATTAACAGTTGTCAGTGTGGCGGTCACGCCAGGGTTTATGGGGGACTGATGATGTGGGCCTGTAGAGTTAAATCCACTGTATGTCAGTGCTGCCGCTCAGTTCTTCCCACCCGGCGTTTCCCGTAGATTACTGTCTTAGAAGAAGAACGAATCATCTCCCAATCAGAGGCAGTGATGCATCTAATCCCCTCTTAGTCTGACTAGCAGCCATCAAGCTATCTTTGAACTAGGACACGTTATTGAAGTAATGTGCTACTACTGCCATATTTTCAACTTTTCTGTCATGACTAGGTTCTTCCTCTCCCCTCTGATGAGCTTTTTCTATGTAACTCAGAGCCATATTTTATAGGTTGTCTGTATTGTTTTTTATCTCATTGTTATCGAGGTTTCCTTTGGACTTTCCCACCCCGACCTTTCCCCTCTCCCTTCCCCCGGCCCTTAACTCCAAATACGACCAAAAAGCAAGGAGAAAATCTTCAGTCGTCACTGCCGAACCAAGTTTAAAGGACCTCTACAATGTTTACATGAAAAGCAAGTGGGTGGCAGTTCGCCTGCGCTTCTCTCATCCGACCACTTCCCTTTCATTCCCTTGCTTTCCTGAATCTTAGAGTTACTATTTAACTAAATGGGGAATCTTTCTTGCATGGTTTTCATATAAAATTCAATGTTTTGCTCATTTTTTACAATTCTTCTGTATTTTTATATTAAGTACTTTTTAATATTTTGGAGATATATGAATATATATGTATAGGCTGAAGAGTTTGGTGACAGTACAGTACATGAATGAGATGAATCTAACGTGGACTCTGTCTTTTTACAGCTCTCTAAATATTTATGCCACGTGTGTCGTCTTGGTCACCTGATGTTAGGGCTCAGAAACCTGCAGTGACTTGTTTACTTCCTGTCGGCCGTTCAATTGGAATCCCAACAATTTTATTCTCATCAGCCCCCTTTGAAACAAGTATATTCACTTTATCTAAGATGTTGTGATACACACTACACGCTATGTGATTTTGCAGTTATCCAACTCCATTAGAGTGCAGCCAATGCAACGTGAATACAGCTAACTGTATCAAACATTAAATGGGAGTGTATAATTATTTATCCAACCTCTGGGTTTCTTTGTTTCTGTACTTTGAAGCTTCTATGACTGATTTCTTTGAATGAGTGGATCCATGCTGTTTACTGACTGACTGACTGATTGACTGACTGATGTCGGAGCTGATGACTTTAAAGAGAAGCAAAGCTGTGACCTGCCTCTGGCTCGGCCTCCTTTTCAAAGCGGCATGCCTGTCCAAGTCCATGGGCAGAAAGATTGGGAGCCCCTAGTCGGATCAAAATCCAGAAACTTGACCTGAAGACCAAAGGAGAGTTGGCCCAGGTCATAAATTCCCCAATGAGACTTCAAGACCCTAAGCCTGAAGGCCTGACAGATGGTTCAACCCACTAAATTGTGTCATGGATGGTTGGATCCACTCCAGAAAGACGCCAAAATCTAGAGCTGTAAACAGTTTGTGTAAGGAAGAAGATGCAGCCAAAGTGGCATCCCCATTGGTTTGTAAACCACTGTGTGAAGACCTTCAGTTTGGCATTTGGGCTGTTTCCATTCTGCATTGAGGACCCAGAAAGAACCCTATTTGGTTTGCATGGTCTGATTGCTACATCTCCATGATTGATTGACATGATTGATGTCCAAATCCATTCAAAAATTGTGTTGTTTTTCCAATTGAAATGTCCCCTGCTGGTCATTAGAAAGAATGCAAGTCCAAGGCACTTCCTCAATGACCATTTAACTTTGAAAATGAGGAAATGTACCACTTTTTATCATATGAGATTGAGTGTCAGCTCATCCTGCTCGGGTCTGTAGTTGGTTATTTTTTGCAAATATTCACATGGACCCACAAAAATTTCTGCCAAGTGAAATGTTTACTCTTTTTAGTACCCCTGTTCATGTTTTTATATTTAAAGAAAAATCGTTCAGAACTTTTCTCAGAAAAGCTTCCTCCAGCCTTGTAAACTTTGCTTCATTGAATTTCATCCCCAAAAACTGTTTTGGTGTAAGTTTAATGTTGGAGGGCTGAGGGGGCTCGTTGGGCTGTTTCAGGGCCCATAATTGGATGGTGCCGGCCCTGGTTAAGAATTCGAGTCATTTAAAGTAAAGGCCAAAGTAGAAGAAAGAAAGTGAGCCAAACTGTTTGGTACCTTCCAAAATTTTAATTTAGCCATGAGATACCTGGGGTCAAAGGGGGCGGAGCCAGTGACAGGAAACACAGCTGCAGATGTCATCAGCATTTTGTATAGGTGCAAACTCTAGGAAGAGAGTAGGACTGTTAAAGCGCTCATGACATCAGGTCCTCTTCCTGCGGTGTGCTCGACGGCTCTAAATGAGACACACCTCCAAAATGATGACGCTTTTCCTCTTTTATTTTGTTGAATGAATCTGACAGAACACCTGAGCTCACCCAGTCAGTACAATGTAAATATTGTCAAATAAGTGAATGAAGTATACCTGCTGTCTGTGTCCGTGACAGGAAATGGGAGAGGGGGCAATCAGCCAATCATCACCCAGCAAAGCTTTAAAGAATGTTCTGCCAAAGTCGTTTTCTCCTTTCTTTCTTCTTCTTCTGCACAAGTTTGTTAGAAAATTTGCTGCCACATGCCCCCTTCCCTTCCTCCTGCTTGGATATGATTGTCCCTCTGTGCTTGCCATAGCCTCGGTGTGGCTGTGGTGGTCGTCTGTTGGACTGGTTGGACTGGTTGCCCTCACGTCTCATGCCAGGCGTGCAGCACAGCCTCGCCCTCAGAGACGCTCCAGGCCTGTTTGTGCTTCTGGTTTCTCAAATAAAAGTCCGGACAAGACTCAGCAGCGGACTGAAAATCTTCACCTGGTTTTAGGTTCCTTTTTTGTTGTTGTTGTTGTTGTTTTGGAGTGTAGAGGATCTCAGTTTGCCACAGTTTTCCAGCAGGACTTCTGTACGGCGAATGAACTCGCTTCTTATCCAGTCATTGTTGCATTTGGACTGCTTCCTCTTCAGAGCACTGCCTTTTCTCAGAACAGCTTCCCGTCGTCGGATTTTTAAGGAATTATTTGCAGTACTTTTACATCCACTTCAAGGTTCATGATTTAAAAAATGGTCCAAACGAACTGGAATATCGCAGTTGGAAAAGTCATAACCACTTAACATATATATCTATATATTTATATATTATCTCTATATATTTATATCTAGTATGCATATATGTGTGTATATATTTATATTAGATATAAGTACATAGACATATATATGGTTTCTCAGTTGAACTTCATTGCAAAAAAGACTGAAAAAGATTTGTTTTCTGTAATTACTATGATACACAGTAATAGGCGTTGGTGTTATTTTTGTATAAACATAATATCATCTATGTGGCATGCATGACATATATACAAAATTGGTGGTTTAAAGCAATATGTCCAACCTGGTGCGATTGGTTCTGTCGTGTTCTGTGTAGCCTAAAGCCACTCTGTGCGAAAAGAGATAAAAAAAAGAGAAACTGCATTTGGATAAAACTAACTGTTCAGTATATGTGTTCAATGTTCTGTGTTCTGCATGTTTTAGTATGGAATGAAACATCCCCAAATGTTGACTTGTTTTTCCAAATGAATCTCAAAAACACGCCCCGAACACATACACAAACACACTCGCACACACACACAAACAAACTCACACACATGTATTTGCACTGTGAGGTGAAACACACTGAGGAAACTCAAACCGTGTGACTCCTGATGGATGGATTGATGAAAGATGAAGATTTTTTTTTCCCCCCATCGTTCATTTTTAACAAACAAACAAACAGATCTGTCCGCCCATCCACTGTTTGCATCATCCTAACGCTGAGAGTTACAGATGTTCCCTGAACTCATCATCACCCACTCATCTGTGCAGTGAGAGGAGAAGGAGGAGGAGGAGGGAGACGATGACAGTTATCAGGCCTGAAACATTCCGCATGTTGTTCAGGTAGGCTTCTGCTCTGCAGGTGTTGTCATCTCACCGATCTCGTCTCACCCGCCATCCCCGTCATCCTCCTGCTTCTCTGAACTCATCAGTTTTCAGAGAAATGTGAGGATAACGGCGCTCATCTGTAAACGTCTATGTCCATAACAGAGGCCAATATCTGCCTTTATTTTGGTTGATACAGCATAAAATTTACGTAATTAAGTTCACCAACAGGATCATTTTCAATATTGATTAATCTCCCCACATTTAATTAATTTTATCTGATTGATCAATATCTCATTTTGTCTGTAAACTGGCAGTACAAGATGACATCTTTAAATCCCTCCATCGTGTCAAAAGCCCAATATTAGAAAAAGAAAGCAGTAGAAAGCTGAAATTAAACCACCATGTTATTAAAATGACCCACTTTTGGCTCATCACGGTCACAATTCTGCAAAAAAGTGGCAAATATCAGTTTATGAATCAGGCTCTTAAACACAACACCATCAATATTTCATTTAAAACACGTCAAGACACCAAAAACCTTCTTTAAACCTATATGTGACCCATTTTCTATTTCTACACTTGGACAATAAACAACATACAACATGTTTACCAGTGAGTTTGGAGTCGTGGGAATGTGTTCTTCTTATTCTATGTTAAAGACAGTTTAGGAGTTTCCTTTAGTTTTCAGTGTTTGTGAAAAGTTTGGCCAAAAAAAATTCAGTCAGTGCTTCAGGAAGAGAAGTGACAGTATGGCTTTAATAAAGATGGATATCAATAACAGCAAAAGAGAGTAAGGTTCAGGATTATGCTTTTTAATATTTCCAGACACTCCAAACATCTGTTTTCATGAAACTGCAGCATTTAAATGAGCGATTCTGACCGAAAAATGATCAAAGTATGCAGTACATATAATCAACAGCACTGGACAGAGAGGGTTTTTTCTCTTGTTTGTGAGTATATCTTTGATATTACCGTAAGAGACGGTCCAACAAAATATTAACCTTATTGTTCCTTCTCTGACCCAATGATCTTGACCCTTTGGATCAGGTGCCCAAACTACTCCAAGCAGCTGTTACAAAGATGCTTATCTTGTGTTGGAGACACTGCAAAGTTAGGTTAATGCACCAAAAACTGAGCACTACCTTGGGTTGAAAAGTCAAAAAATTTAACTTTTTCTTTGTTTACATGAATCTTTAAAAGACTATATTTTTACCTTTTGTCCTAACTGGTAAATAAGACCTGGTTTTTCACCCTTTTGATCCACATTTAAAAAACTCAACAAAGTGTGAATGAGAAAACAAAAGCATTTTAACAAACTCAACAAAGAAGTAAAATTTTCACATGCGATTTAAAAATGGTAAAATCGGTTATTGAGCTAATGTTAGCGTGCTAGAGGGCTTAATCATGACACACTAACCTAGTAAATAAGCAACGATTAGCATACTAACAGCCTTAACTAGGATGGTAAACTTAGTAAACTGCCAATCATAGCCTAAGTCATTTAGATTAGCTCGTGTTAGAATACTTACAGGCTAAATTTAGATGCTAACTTTGGACCATAAGTTCATATTTCAGTGTAAAGGCCGGCTAAGACAGTCAAATAATAATAATGATACTAAAGAAAGTGTAAGATAGTAAGATGGTTAACAATGTAAATGGGATAATATTAGCGTACTTACAGGCAGGTTGTTACCATAGAAAGTATTGATTATAAGCGTACCAACAGTTTAGCTAACATGGTGAGTTAGCCAATATTATTCTGTCAACAAATTCAACTGAACTGATAATGGGGGTAAAACAGAAAATGTTAGCATGTTTACAGGCTAAGCTAGAACAATAACCCATTACTCAAACAAATGTGAGTATAGAGATCTTGAACACTGTAAATTAGCAAAAATTATATCGACAGGCTAAGGTATAATGATAAACATGGTAAGCTAGTAAATGCTAGCATACTTCAAGAGAAACTATGAGGTAACTGTATTTGTTACTGAGTCAGAAAGTCAAACTATAATGATGAACATAAGTACGCTTTAAGTGTTATTAATTAATAAATATAAACTCATTAGCATTTTATTTCTGGGTACATTGACAAACTGGCGTTAGCATTTAGCATTAACCAGAATTCCTTCATGTGTCTTAAACATGGAGGACGTGACCTTGGCGTCTTCAGTCTGATCTCTGGTCCTGGTTGACAGATTTTGAGCCTCAGAGGTGATCTGTTTGTGAGCCAAAATAAGCTTCCTGTGCTTCCCTGAGTGTGTGTGTGTGTGTGTGTGTGTGTGTGTGTGTGTGTGTGTGTGTGTGTGTGTGTGTGGGCTCTGTGAAAGTGTGTTTCCTCAGTGTGTGCGTCACCTTCTCCCTCATTCACTCCCTTCCTGTCTGTCTCTGTCAAAGATCCTCCTGTTTGCTTCAATCTATGCAACAGACTCCTCCAGTTCGACCCCCACAGGTTCATTCGGTTTCTTTCTCTCTCTCTCTCTCTCTCTCTCTCTCTCTCTCTCTCTCCCTCTCTCTCTCTTCCTCTCTCCCTCTCACGCTCACTCTCGTCTGCTCGTCTCCGTCTTTATCCCCCTCTTTTCTTTTTTAGTTCTTTCTACGAACAGAACCACGACACCTATACATTGATGATGTATGTATGTGTGTGTTCGTACGACAGGACAGTGCACACACTCATGTTGTTTTCTTTACTCTTTTGTAAGATATGATCGTGTGGAATGCCTTTGGTCTTAGTGTCATGTCGTTTGAACTTAAGCTGAACAAAAGATGATAATCAAGCAACTGAGTAAAAGTTGTTACATGAGTATATATATAATATATAAATATATATATAAATATATACAAATCTATATACATAAAATAAAGCCATTGGAGTTTGAAATAAATCAGAGTCAATTTGTGATTTTTCTTTAAATGATGCCGTACTGGTTCGTTGACAAGCAGAGGTGTCTCCAGCTCTTTTTGATCGGGGGGCCCAACCTCAGCACTGACGCTGCTGGGGTGGCACCAAGTAAGGAAGCCCATATACCAATAAATAACATTGATTATTGCAGCTGCATCATAACATGAGCCACTCAGTTTATTTTAACACGTCTCATCTCCAACAAGATGATATTTTGAGCTTTTCTATGTCCAGTTGTTGGGGGTCTTACCCTTTGCAGGTATTCAAACACAAACTGACCATTTAAAAATATAAAAATAAAAACTGAATTAACTCAGTCTAAAAAACTCATCAAACTTGAACTAAAATAGGAAAACAAAAAGTCACAAGGCTTTTAAAACTGTTATAACTTTGCAGTGGACAAAGCAGTCTTACCTTATGTTCTCCTCTACATGCTAAAGTCAAGTCTATTAACAAATATATCTCCTCCTTCTGATGTTTTAGACACAGACTTATTATTTGTTGTGTATATTTTACATGGAAAACTATAAAAACTTTCGTTTCCTCAGCTGCCCCGCTGTCACCTCACCCCTCACATCGGTTTGAGGAATTTAAAATGACTTTATAGAGGTTGTTATTGCTTGTTTGCTTTGGGATATCATGAAGAGGCATCTGTATGAATTTCAGTCGATCTCATCCTCACAGGAGCTTTAAACAGCAGGACAAACTTAAAATCCTGCTGCATAATGAAATCATGGTTTGCATTGCCATCCCACTTCCAGCTCAGCGTGTCCCAGAATGTGAAAGGGAAGTCGCCTCTGCGTTGTTTCTGCAGCCCACCCAGGGCGAAATAAAACTCCATCCAGGAGATTTGAATTGGATTGGCCCCCGTAGTGATTGAATGATGTGATTTGCATAAACATTCATATTAAAAAAAAAACACTCCCACTCCTGGAGAGTTTGAGCTTTCTGCTTAATGATGCAGCATCAAGATGTCGAAAGGTTAGAGCTCTTATTACTGCAAAGAAACAACAAAAATCTTCAGTAGTTTGTTGTTTGTTTCAACAACTTTCACCTCAGAAATTCAGTAATGGAGTCTGACCACGTAAAGTCACAGAGAAGGCCAGAATACAGGAGTAACCTGGGTCACATAGGTAGTGGAGACTGGTCTTGGTTCTTCTGGGGGGCTTGCCATGTTTGTTTTGGTGTTTTCCCG